CGCACGCACGCATCTCGGTCGACCCTCAGTTGAGCCCAGTCGGCCATCAGCAGTGCCAGTGCCCATCAGACATGGCAGCAGCACGCCAGCGCACGCTAGTGCGGCGGCTGTGCCCAGTACTGCCAACAGTCAGCGCCCAGCACCTAGCCCAGTCCGCCCCAGCGCCAGCGTGAGCAGCCTCGGCAGGCCTGCTGGCCGAGCCAGTGCACGACTGACCGGTTCAGCAGACCGGCAGTCCGGTCCAGACCGGTTCAGACCGGCTGGACCGGTTCAGCCCATATTTTCATGTTTCAGTCCCGGTTCTTGATTTCAGTATCATTTTCAGTTAAAATTTCGAGTCCAGTTTAGTTCAGTTCCGTACTTAACCGATTCCAGTTATACCGATTAAGTCCGAATACCATGTTAAGTCTTCTAGAGCATCTTAACATAATTAATCAGTTAATTTATCTGTCTGAACATAGTCCTTAGTAATTGTTTATATTATTTTTCAGTTTGATCAGGAATCAGCACTACCTGCATTTTCAGCAGTTCAGGTGGGGACTCAGACTAAGTACTACATTGATTATAATATCGCTACCATGTTTGAGGTATGTATATTCAGTATCCGCTCGGAATGGTTGCCGGTCCATTCTGGGTTATAGTGGCCCTAATCTGCCCACTAGAGTGTGCACATGGTGTCCGGCTTTGCCGGCAGATGTTCAGTTTCAGACACGTGACTTATGTCACGAGATCAGTATCAGATTATTCAGACCGGTATCAGATATCAGTTTCAGTTCAGTTCAGTTATATATGCCAGGATCATGATATTGTTATTATTTTCACTGTTTTACTTTAGTATGAGTTTCCACGGAGCACAGTGTTATAGTGCTCACGTCCCACTTATTTCATGCTTTTTAGGTCACAGGGTCGGGGACGAGGAGTGAGCTGACGAGCTGTTCAGGATATTTGTTTTGTTATGTATAAACTATGTTTTGGCCACGCTACATTTCCGCGAAAACTTTCAGTACTTAAACTCAGTTTTGGTCCGACACTAGTTGGTTAAAATATTATATAACCGTTTCTATTATAAGTTTAAAATTAATGGTTTTTCAGTCAGATTTTCACGGTAGCACCCCGAATCAGCTTTCGCAAAATAAATATTTTATTAAATTATTCAGAAAATTTGCGAAAAATGCGTATTCTGATATTATTAAATTAGCGGGGTGTTGCAATTGGTATCAGAGCACGTTTCTGTGTCTCTGAAAAGTTTTATCAGTCAGAAATTTTCAGAAAAACCTGAACCGTCACACTCACTCCTCGCCGACTACAGGTAAGTGCTGATTTATGTTTCAGTTATAAACATATTACTATTGTCTATGCTCAGAAATTATTAATCAGGACTTAGTTAAGATGCTCGAATCAGGATCAGACTTTAGAACTCAGTGTACTCAGATATAACTCTAGACGTCTTCAGGATTTATATCAGTATTTTCCGGTTGCTTTTGGCAACTCGTCAAGAGATCTGTGTACTTTAGAAATCAGACGGAATATTTTTCATGTGTTCAATAATTTGAGCTTTTTTTCAATGTTCAGATGCCGCCCCGTAGGGAACCCGATCACCCAGTTCTACCTCAGGCCACGGTGGTCGCACAGTTTCGCGACTATCACCCTGAGAAATTTTCTGGGCAGGGAGACCCTCGTATCGTGGACGAGTGGATTCAGGGCCTTGAGTTTATTTTCGAGGTCATGGATTGTCCAGACAGATATCGCGTTGTATGCGCTCAGCTTCATCTAACCGGTGATGCTCGGCTCTGGTGGAATGCCTACTGAAGCATGCGTCTCGGCGAAAAGGCGGGATGTACATGGGATAGGCTCAAGGAGCTGATCCGCGAGAAGTACTACCCCACCTACTACAGAGCAGAGATGGAGCGTCAGTTTCTATCGCTCAAACATGGTACTCGGACTGTAGACGAGTACGAAAGAGAGTTTACCAGACTTGCAGCTTTTGTTCCTGACTTGGTTCGTACGGAGGCCCAGAGAGCACAGTGCTTCATTGACGGACTTTGCCCAGCAGTCCGTCATAACATTGTAGGTCACGGGGCTCAGACGTACGCTTGTGCAGTTTCCATTGCCCAGGAGGTGGACGCCAGCATCAGGAGGGAGGCCATCCATGATCGTCCTCAGCCATTCGCTCCCGCCCAGTCATCTACATCTCTACCAGCTCTACCAGCTGCCCAGCCGACGAAGGAGAAGAAGAGAAAGGGGAAGGGCGCACAGACAGATCGAAGGACCCGACAGAGGCAGCAGCTGTTAGAGGTATGTTGTAAAAGCTATGTTTTGCAGATTCTATCAATTCCATTTTGATCTGGCAATCATGTTTTGGTCAAAGTACATATGTTTGCAGTTTATTTATT